TCACCTGCACATCCACCAATGTGATATATGCCATCATGTGCCAGCAATGCCCCTCTGCCATGTACATTGGTCAAACTGGACAGTCTCTACGTAAAAGAATAAATGGACACAAATCAGATGTCAAGAATTATAACATTCATAAACCAGTCGGAGAACACTTCAATCTCTCTGGTCACGCAATCACAGACATGAAGGTCGCTATCTTAAAACAAAAAAACTTCAAATCCAGACTCCAGCGAGAAACTGCTGAATTGGAATTCATTTGCAAATTGGATACTATTAATTTAGGCTTAAATAGAGACTGGGAGTGGCTAAGTCATTATGCAAGGTAGCCTGTTTCCTCTTGTTTTTTCCTACCCCCCCCCCCCAGATATTCTGGTTTAACTTGGATTTAAACTTGGAGAGTGGTCAGTTTAGATGAGCTATTACCAGCAGGAGAGTGAGTTTGTGTGTGTATGGGGGTGGGGGGGGAAGTGAGAAAACCTGGATCTATGCAGGAAATAGCCCGACTTGATTATGTAAAGAGTTGTCACTTTGGATGGGCTAGCACCAGCAGGAGAGTGAATTTGTGTGGGGGGGTGGAGGGTGAGAAAACCTGGATTTGTGCTGGAAATGGCCCACCTGTTGATCACTTTAGATAAGCTATTACCAGCAGGACAGTGGGGTGGGAGGAGGTATTGTTTCATATTCTCTGTGTGTATATAAAGTCTGCTGCAGTTTCCACGGTACACATCTGATGAAGTGAGCTGTGGCTCACGAAAGCTCATGCTCAAATAAATTGGTTAGTCTCTAAGGTGCCACAAGTACTCCTTTTCTTTTTGCGAATACAGACTAACACGGCTGTTCCTCTGAAAAGTGTCTTAAAAGAAACTAAACATTGCACTTGGGTTTTCATTTGAAGATTATTCCTGAAAGCTACTTAATGAAAATTTATAAATGTTGATGTACAGAATAATGACTAGTGTTTAAAAAAAATCCAAAGGATAGCGCAGGAAACTAAGTTGGGGGTGGGGGGAAGAGGGGGAAAATTACTTCTGTTTTGCAGAGAGCATTATGTAGCCAAGGCAATTTTATTAACATGGTGGGATAAAATACAAAGGGTGCTTCCTAATCTCAAAGACTTCAAAACAGACTTTTTTTAGAGACAATATCAATATCAAAGCCAGTTGTCTCTACTATTAAAATGTTCTCTGCTCTTCATTAGTCACAAACAATCCCCTCGACTCACAAAAAGGTACTCAGTAAATTAAAAGCTTTTATGTAACACTCCAACAACAGTTGAATGACTCCAGAGTTAAAAGGGAACTCTGATGTCTGCCAGTATTCAGAGTGGTACCCAATTGCTTTCATTTTTACAACAGAGCTTCACTTAAGTTGTTTATTCATTTGTAGACCTATTGCTGGGCTGATTAGGAATGACCAGTTAATGAAATGCTCAATCTTTTCTGGTTTCTGTGGGCAGCAACCAAAGCCCTGATTCTGCAGTATGGAGACAATGGGTCCATCCACATGGAACTCTTGTGGGATTGAAGCCCAAATTTTCTCTTTGTGCCTGGGCAGGATCTGGGATCTAGATCTCAGAGTGGTGGGTACTCCCTATACGGCAGTATATTGTTATTATCTTCAACTGTTAAAACTATGACCAGAATGGATCTCATCATCCACCCCCTCCCTCATGCCCTTTGAACTGCACTACGTGCTCCTTGGTTGCAGCGAAGGATTGGGATCGTACACCACTGCAGTCCATGGGAGCATCTCAACTTACTTGAATAGGAGGAAGATTACTTGCTATGGTATTTGGCTTGGGGATGGCATTATGAAAATACCACACAATGTGATAGTCATCATATTACGGCATTTGACTCTATCAGGGAGTGGGGGTATTTGTCTGAAACAGTGGCTACTGTATAGAGAGTTTCTAGGGCATGCTTTGTTCACAGTGAGTCATTTGTCTTATTTCTTGGGGCTAGGATTTGTGGGGTGGAGGTTAACCCTAACCCGAACCCTGACTTTCATTTCAGTGACTGGTATTTCCATTTTGTGTTAGTCTTGTGGTGCTTGGATCCTATTGTCGGTTTGTTTTGTAGCACTGCAGATACTGTAACAGTGACATCTAAATTGCAGGAATGGAAGTCAGGACTCCTAAGTTCTCTCCCTGCTCTGCCACCAATTTACTGTGACTCTGGGTAAGCTACATCACTTGGTGCCTCAGTTTCCCTATGCATAGAAGGAGGATAATAAAGGACGGTGTGAGCTGATTTAATATTAGTAATGCAAGACCCCGTTGTTAGCCCAGGTGTTCCGACGTGCCCTGGCCAGATTCCTGTGTGTGTAACACATCCTTCCTGTCTAAATTCACTCTGCAGTTTCAAATGCTTGGATCAGATTCTCAGATGGTGGAAATTAAAGTCATGGAGCTACACTGATTAGTACAAGCTGAGGGTCTGGCCCGATATTCTTCCTCTATTCCTGTCCTAAACAGTTGTGCCAAAATTCCCATTCACTTCAATTGTGCCAGTATTCCATCTAGAGTCCTACAAGGGTTCTGGGATCTTGCAGGTCCCGGCGGACCCACTGCCATAATAGCAGGAGCCAGTAAAATGTACTTTGTTGCGGGCAGAACTTGGTGGGCAAAGAAACAGACTGTGGTAATTTGCGGGAAAACATGAAGATTTAGTCAATTTGTCATAAATAGAATGTCAGCAATGTAAAGCAAGTTTCTTTTTTTTTTAAATAAGGGTTTTAATACTTAAATTTAAGAAAGGGATAGAAAGAGATTTGATAGCTATTATAACGGGAGTTAAAATATTTTTTACATGGTTTAAGCAAGATTCGTTTTATTCTTTTAGTGGTAAAATTTGTGTCTGAATTCCATTATATATATATATATATATATATATATATATATATATATATATAATATTTTAACCGACCATTTTTATTTTATTTTATTTTATTTTTGTAGCATGGGGGAATCTGTCTTGCAGGATTTGGGGGACCAAAGGTTTTTGTGGGTGGGAGTAGGATAAAAATGAAAGAAACAATGTGGGATCGGGTGGGAGTGGATATTGCAGGGCGGGACAGGAGCTGGATTTAAAAAAAAAAAAAAAAAAAGTCCCACGCAGGACTCGAATTCCATCCACTGTATATGTACAGACCCAAAGGACTAAATTCAGAGGGGCGTCTAAGATAGTGCAGCTTACACATTTATCTAGCTCCCAAAGAGAAACATACACGGCATAGCAATTCTTTTTCTTTTTTCTCTTTGTATTAAGAATATGTACTGATGTTGTGGAACTATTGCCTTGAGTTGTGAATGATATATGAAATGAGAGCCCCTAAGCTAGTGTACAGACAGAGAATACAGACAGTGCTTTGCTGGCAATGCCAGGCTACAGTTATATTCAGCTTGTTGTGTCCTAGATCACTTCGAACCATGAATTAATATACGAAGACCTGTTACTAAGGTAAAAAACTAACCAACTTTATTAAACACTTCCACGTTGACTGGGTGTTTCTGTAGAATGGTCTGCATCTCCAAACTGGAGCAGGAACTAGATTCTTACTGTGTATTTGTACACCATGAGTTCTAGTAGTTGTATAATTGGATCCTGATCTTAGTTAGGACATCTAGGTGATACAACAATATAAATAATAATAAAAGTATCCTATCCCTGTAAACCCTGGGGCTTGGAGATAAACTCAGACAGTTTCCCCATTGAGGTTGTCTGTACTTTGTTTCTTTCAAGTTGCTGCTCAGGAATTTGGATGGGATTTTACCTGGAGATTTCCCTGTTTTGTGAGAAAAGAGAAAGAGAGAGAGAGAGAGTAGTTTAGTGGCTAGAGCAGTGAACTGCAGGTCAAGAGAACTGGGCTCTATTCCCAGCCCTACCACTGACCTGCTGGGTGACTGTGGGCACGTCACTTCCCCTCTTTTTCCCCTGTCACTCTGTCCATCTTGTCTATTCACACTGTCTGCTCTTTGGGAGAGGGGCTGCCTCTTACAATACATTTATACAGAACCTAACACAAGGTGTCTTTGCACTCTGCTGGGACTTACAAGTGCTGTGGTAACACAAATAATTAATAACAACCTCTTGATTAAAAAAAAATACTTCCCAAAATTATAACTTATTGCCACAACTGAAGACATTCGTAAAACATTAGGGGAACTGCCTGTAACGTGGGGAGAGAAGGAGAGAACTGGAGTAGCTTGAGAGGCAAGCTTACAATGCTCTCTTCCGGTGTTTTTCTACTGCAAATTCCCACAAACATTGCAGATGAACCCTCCCATCATTTGGGTGGTTAAGTATTGCTGGAGTAGCAAAATCACCCCTGCTTCCTCCTACTCTGCAGTATTCAGTGTCTGACAATACTCCAGTTGGTTCAGGCTATCTTGAGGTCTAATGAACATATCAAAGAAATAGCTCAGTGCTCCCCATATTTCCAAAAAGCATATGTTAAACAATGTAGGTAAAGAGAAACTGTAACAGGATTCACTTGTCCTAACAGTCCATCTGTTTTCTACTCCCTGCTGAGCAAATCTCTTTTCCTGGTTCCCTTTCAGGTGCACTCTTACCTTACGTAACGCTTTTTTTATTGGAGGTGCATGCTGTGACCCTGTCAGAATTGCTACAGCAGGGGTGACCTCAGTAATGACCATCCACAGCCTGCCAAGCTGAGTTGGTCAGTGTTAGCTGATTAAACTTTTAACAACATCCCCTGTGCGATAAAGGGCAAAATGACAACTTTGCCCATCGTCAAGGTGTCTGTATAATAAACTAATTAGTAAACTACACAGTCTGTGGAGCTTTTAATGAGTGCTATCGTCTGGCCTCTGTAATAAAAACCCAGTCTGCCCCCTTTTGGGATTCAATTAAGGCACAGACTGTCATATGCTTGGCCTAGCTGATCAATGAATCCATTCCGACCTCTGTCGGAGCTGTTTGCAAGGTCAGTGGCAGTAGTGAGGAAAGCCAGCTTGGTAATGGGGAGACATACCCAACGGCACCCGACAGGCACCAAAATCAGTTGTTAATGTCCTCCTGGTCATTTGACATCAGCAGAAGTTTCTCTCACTCAAAGGTTAGCTGAAAGAGAAGACAGCAATAAAAAAAAAAAAGTATGGGTAGGTATATTGGTATTTCTAAGCAGAAAGGTCCCTCTGTTATTTAAAATCATCCTTAATTCTTTAACATCTGCTTATACCTAAGGTAACTGTTTTTTCCCCATGCAGCACAATATCCCATCAGGTGTTTTCTCTCTCAAATATGTTTACTGATTTGCTCCAGATGTAAAAATAAACACAAATCAAAAGTGAAGGGGTGACTCTTACTTAAACATACACACACACTTTTCAGTTCTTTGCATATGAATAATACTTAGCACTTTGTATCCAAAAGGTATTATGAACACTAAATTAACCCTCATGACACTGCAGCAAAACAAATAATTTCATCCTTATTTTATGGATGGAAAACTGAGACAGACCTCCTGTCTAGGCATGTAGGAGTAGATAGGGGCTATCATCCCATTTATTCCCCTATGCATAGTATAGCTCCTCCCCTCATCCCCACATGCACTGGCCAGTGTAGTTGAGATAATGCTGAGGGCATTGCAATTTGCTGCTGGTATAGGCCAGTGGCCAGTAACTACACTCACCCCAGAGCAATGAGGAAGCAGAGTAGGGATTATGACCCCAGAGGGTGTGTCTGAGTCACAATGCCTCCCAAGGCTATTGCTGGGAAAGTGCAGGTTATGCAACATCCCTGGAATAGGGCTATGTCTAAAGTCCCAAGTTAGCTCTATAGAAAGCATTTGAGACCTGAAGAAGTTGGAATTAGATCTGCGATTAGAGGAGCTCCTGCTCTCCAGGTACACTGTTAGTGCTGAAACAATTATAAATGATCATTTGGAGGTTTTGTATATTTTTCAAAGTTTTAATTAAGGTTTTCAAAATGATTGTATTTCAAAAATGTTTAAAACAGTTTTTTTAAAAAGGTGATATGTATATAAAAGTAATGGTTTAGTGAAGGTAAGTCAGGAGCTTCTGTTCTCCCTTTCTCATAAAACAAGAAAAAAGGGGACAGTTAGCGAAATTAAAGAAAAGGAGTACTTGTGGCACCTCAGAGACTAACAAATTTATTTGAGCATAAGCTTTAGCTCACAAAAGCTTATACTCAAATAGATTTGTTAGTCTCTAAGGTGCCACAAGTACTCCTTTTCTTTTTGCGGATACAGACTAACACGGCTGCAACTCTGAAACCAGAAATTAAAGAGTGGTACATTCAAAACCGATTAAAGGAAATACTTTCCCCCCCTTGGTGCCTAATTAGACTGTGGAACTCATTGCCACAGGATGTCACTGAGGCCAATACCTAGTAAGATTCTGAAACAGAATGGATGTTTATATGGATTATAAGAATATCCAGAATTACAACTCTAAATGCAAACAACACATTGTGGAAGGGATAAAAATCTCATGCTTCAGGGTTTAAATCAATCTATAGCTCATTGGGATTATGCTGAGACCTTCATGGTGAACAATTACACACATTTACCTACTATTGGTATCTTGTACCTTCCTGTTTGAACTCTGGCACTGGCCACTGTTGAAGACAGAGCATGGGTCTGAACCACTATGCCACTATGGCAAATCTTATCTTCCTAAATGGATGTGCAGAGAGAAACAGAAGACTTGACAAGTCATAGTCTTATATGTGGATGTCAATAATTTTGGATGTGGAATAGGGACCAGATGCTATCCCTGTTGAAGTCAATAGGAATTTTAACATTATATCAGACCCCAAATTAACTGTTTAAATACAATTTGAAGATGGGTCCTAGTACACAAAGGATAGATCCCCTGGCAGAAGAGTAGACTAAATTTAGTAGGAGTCTATGCCAATTGGCATTCCTCATTTTTGTGATAAACATGCAATAGAATGCACTTTGTATTTACTACCTTTCTAGGGCAACTGTTTCTTTAAATGTGCAACAATTTTCAATTTTTTATAAAAACTAGAAATGTTCATATACTGAACTTCACTCTTTACATGTTCCAATCTGGATATAAACTATATAAGCCAAATCCTGCCCTTTGTGGTAAAGAGGCACTTCTCACTGACTTCCTATACTGTACCTGCACTGCAGTAGGACAGGATACCTACCGAGAACACAAGAATGGTAATTGGAAGACTCTTGTGCCTGCCATTGGTCCACAGTCTGAAGGGAAAGGGGCTCACAACCTTAGCTAGCACATAAAGAGTGGGGAAGAGTACACATGCTGGCGAGAGGAACACATTACTGCATTTGCGAGGAGCCTCACATAGTTATTATGTTCAAGCAATCCCGAACTGTTCCTAGCCACTCTGTTCTGCACCAGCAGGATAGATCTGGTAACCAGTGTATGCCTGGCTCCAGTGTTTTCTCCATCTTCCAGGTTTAGCTCTGGCAATTAATGGCATAATTTAGCCCCACAAAGTGTTTGGAAGTGCAATATATACATACACACAAGGTCACTGAAGAGGAAATTTATAAGAGAAAACAATTTCACAGAGGAAGATGTACTAAAAAGTAGGGCTGGTCAATTTTTTTTGGCATATCATAATTCAAAGGGAGGGGGAGGCCAAACGTTCAACTAAATTTTTCCAGGGTTTTGACCATTCTGAGTCCATCAATTTTTAAAAGCTTTACATTGACCATTTCAAAATTTCAAATCCAAAACCAGGATTTTTTTTTTCATTACAAGGTTTCCATCCCCATTTTAAAGCTAGTTTTACTAAAAGTAATATGGTGAAATCTAGACCTAGATTTCAAATACCTCAAGTGTATGAGTGTCAAGGGGTTTGGTTCAGGCTCATCTCTATAGTTTACCATGCATCCCAATCTCTAATCCCCCCCCTTGAAATCTGTCCACTTTTCCTCATGGTGGTGCTCATTACCATGCCTCCTCTTAACATGGTTATTTGGTTACAAATATTTATTCCTTTCCATGCTATGACTGTTCTCATGTGACAGGAATGCACATGACAAAGACATGTTTTATATTTTGATAGTTCCTAGCATGTATCACTGTTTACTTGAAGTAAACCTGAAGGCTGTGGGACATTTTCTATTCAGTTATACCAATGCAACCCCATCAATTTCAAGACCCATGTTTAACTACCATGAGTGGCCAAATAGGTTTTGTGCCTGGGTGAGTAAACTTCTATGATAATTTTGCCAGGACAGGAAGCAGGGAAAAGTATAGGAAGATGTAACAAGATGTTATTTTCCAAGATCTTGTACCAAGATACAGAACAGATTTTGCTGGCTCATGCTGGCAACTAGATCAAGTATGTCCTATTAGCCATAAGGTGCACTAAAGTACCTAGAAACATCCAAACTTAGGAGCAAACTCTGCTAGGAAACTTATTTTTATTTAAGATAATAATAACAAAAGCCCCAGAGATAGGGGACTATATCTAGTCTATGTGTACTGTGCTGTGTTAGAGCAAGGTGAGAATGCCACTTACTTAAAGTAGATTATCATGTTCCCCACATCACATTATTGGCTGTAAAAAGAATTATTGAAAATAGGGGACAGAAAGTTGTGTGTGTGGTGAGAACCTATTTCCTCGATTAAAGCAGCATTCTGAATATTTTAAAGGGGTCTACCCTCTGATCCTGCTTAAAGTATTTAAAGAGGCTGGTTGTGGGAAGAAAGTCATGGAAAAAATAGCATACTTATGTGTTATCTCCTTAATTCCTGCCAAACATGCAAAATTGTTATGAAAATTCATCAGCCCAGGCACAAAACCTGCTCTCTCATTCTTCCCAAGGAGATGCCAATAGTGTAAAATCTACTGTTAGTTTTTAGCTCATCAGAAACATTCCTTGTCTCAGGTTAGTTGGTGGGTAGAATTTCACAAGGCTACACACTCAACCTCTGCCCAAATTCAAGTACATGTTTTGGTACATAAACTCAGAAATATAGAAATATTCAGGAATAAATCACAGAAATATCGCACATATGTTTGTTGGGCAATATAAAATGGTTTCTATGGAGGTCATTAAGCAATGCCATTGCACTGAAGAAGGTCATATTGCAAGCCAATCCACAACCTCTGGTCCACCCACAAGTGGAAGTGGATAGAAGATTTTGAGAGCACTGAAAATCTCCACAGTGCTTCATCATTATTTAGTGTAGTGTTTCTTCCCCAGTCTCATGAACTCCAGGCTCCTATTTACACCTGTGGGGCCACCAGGTGGACCATCAAGTGATGATAAAAAACATTTAATTTAAGCTCTCTCTTCCTCCATCCTCTACAATAATGGAAGATATGAGGAAGCATGTAAATCTTGGCAAGCCTTGATTCTTTTGGGTCTAAACAGCGAGCACAGCAGCACGACTTTATGATCCAAATTCTTAATTATACTATTACTCCTTTATGTTGCTTTGGCTGAGAAAGGATGTGATTCTTGGGAAGGCCTTGTGGGAGTACACCCAGTATAAGGAGAGTGGGCATCCCCAGCTGGCATCATGGTGGGCTTTCTACTCCACCTCCATTGTAGGAGACATGAGTCCTTTTCCTTTCCAACCTTAGTTTTTCTCTTTCCTATCTCTCTCTCCTTTTTCCTTTTGTCTAGTAAGAATCTGGTTTAGACAGCCAAGACTGCATATTTTGCAACACTGCTGTATGCCTGTGACCAGAAAGAGGCAGTTAAAAACAATACCCTAAATAGCCCAGTTCTGGTACAAGTTTCCCAGGTCTCAGAGTAGCTGGGAAAACAATTGCTGTGTCTGTGTTTTTACAGCAGTGAGGTTGCAAGTGAGAGTCAACACCAGACACAGAAGATATATTTTCTATCTTTGCTATTCTTTTCCCCTCCCTTTTTTGTATTTTTGTCTTGTTTTGGCTCCTGGGAAACAGGATCAGATTTTAACAACAACACAATAACAAGAGTTCCAGCCCAACTCAACTAACTTCTTCCCTTTTCCTCAAAAGGCCTTTAAATTACCATCTTTGATACCATCTAAGAGACTGTGAAACAAGGAGGGGGAAGGGGCAGGTACATGTAAAAACTCTCTCTCGCTAAAGGAAAAGGG